GTATATAGGAAATATTTAATATATAAATTTTACTGCATCTTCAAAAAGTAAGAAAAACGCATTTTGCAAATGTCTATTTATTATATTAATTGTTATTAAATGTGCGCAACGGACGTAAATGTATATCTCTGTGTCTAAATCTGATATAAATCATTTTATAATCAACAGATTAATAGATATTAATATTATAGAAAAAGCACCAGCCTTGAGCAAATTTTACTATATGAGAAATGGACTCGATAGCTCCGGAAATAATTGAAAAACGATAGCATCGTCGATTATCTCTAATCACTGATATATCTGGACATATTTGATGTATAATATGGTATAATTACACGCTACGAAAACCATCATACTCAGGTTAACACTGAACACAATTCTCTCATTTCATTGTGTAATAAGCTCTTCATTTCATTGTGTAATAACCTCTTATCGATAAATTTAGATTTAAATTTAAGCAATATCCGTAAAAATACGATTTCAAAAAATGTATATAATATACTTTGTCGTAAGTCCATACATATATCTTCAAGACATTGAAGTAAAATTTAGAATTTTACTTCACATATATTACATCTCGTATAGTTGACGATCTTAATCTTTCATTTATTTTTCTTACCTTGTCGATGTTTTGTCTCTAAATTGTGAAGTTTCTGGCTCGAAGGAATTCACACTTACCTACAAAGGAAAGGCGTAAGATTAGAAAGTAATGAGGAGGTTGTGTTCATCGTTATCCCGAGTACAACGGTTTTCGTAGCATATAATTACATTAAAAGAACAGATTATCGAAAAGATACCTACATCGGATTGTTATAATGACGTGTTCCATAACCGGAATGCGGCACACGTTTTCGAGGTGCGTAAGAAAAATCCTCTGCTTTCGTTGCGGAGTATCGTTTTAAACTAACCGATGTTACGGCGGAGTCACGGCAGAGTATATGTGCGGCGGGAAACTTAAACTGCTGTAGCGGGACGTGAATCGAGCAACTGAACCATCGAAGAGGTAATACTAAAAACTGTAATATCAGACTTAGGCAAATTTTCATGAGTACCTCGGTTCTCCGAAGATAATTGAAGAAGGATGACGTTACCGATTATTTTTAATCAATCAATATAAATATCTGGATATTTGTGTATGTGTATGTGTGTGCGTGTGCGTGTGTGTTGTGTGTGTGTCACATAATCAATATTAATTTTATAATTTAGAATTACCTTGATCCTCTATCAATATATATATCGAGCTAGGAAATATATATTTTTGTAAAACTGCATTTTTTGTAATTATCATCTACGCTCGTTCAACACAAATTTAGTGACTGAAAGTTATTGAGCAGCAAAATTTTCACGCACGCCAAATCCTGTAAGGCCAATCGTCTTTTGTATTACTTCGTCGGTGATTGAACCGATAGCGTTAAGAAGTGAATACAGCGAATGTTTTATACCCACTTCTTCAGAGGGCGCGTCAAGAAAAGTGGCACGAGACTTCTTTACGGCATGATCTCTGTGAGACTTTTTATTAGTTTTATAATTAACATGCTTGCTAAAAAAGCAAGAGCAAAAAAATCCTTAAAAATGCTTATATTCATTTCTTTCCATTATATTTTTCTTAAAATATAAATATCGGATATGTGTATCGCAGGAAATAAATAAATTATTATGAATTATATTGTAAATATACTTTCAAATTACAGTCTAAAAACTACAAAATATTCAATATTTTTATGTATTTAATGATAGCTTTTCCTAGTCAAATAAATATAAATGATAGAAATGAAAAATGATACTTTGAGAATTTACACGGACGCTTGTTATTACGCAATATTCTTAGTAGATTTATAGTTTGCTAAATAATGTATTAATAAAATGGATAAGAAAAGAGCAGGTATAACATAGACGCTCTTTCAATGTCTGAAAATTTAATTGACAGTATGAGATAACGTATAATAAGACGAAAGAATCAGTCGAATTTTTAACATAAATTTTATGTCGTTAGAATCACAATTTTAATAAGTAAAAGGAAATCGCCGCTACTCTGCATACGAGTGACACAATTCGAGAGTACGTTTACAGCACGTACACATTTGTTATGTTATGGAGAGCACTAGCTATAATTGGTATATTAACAATATTATCGTTATTATCACTTGAATTAGAATTAATTATTTTGGCAACTCACGTTCGATGAAAATTTAATATATATTTTTACATTACCACACGCGTATAATTATTCTTACTGCAGTGTCACAATAATTCGTATGCAGTTCATCCCCTCTCATTGACAATTTCATACAACTGTAACATGTGTCCCGTCTTTCTTTGACTTTATAAAAAATTTATTTATACATATATATATTTACGAAAGTAAGAAAATACGAAACGACACTAAGAAATGATTGTTTCAGAGATAAACGTAAACGTATCTTTCTTTTTAAATTACAGGGTTCGGGCAAATGGGCTAGGGTCGCTCTTGAGCATAGGAGGGTCGGGGGGGGNGGGGGGGAAGAGTTAAGAGTTTAGAATAACTATTAATATTAAGGTAGTAATCGTACAGATGATTTTTTGCATTATGTATACGTGTAAATTAATTTTCTTTAGCTGTTTATTATGTAAAAGGTGAACTGCGTGTATTTCTTTTATGTTCTCCGTCTCGCTGGATCGTACGTCAGTGGCGGTGGTTTAATAAACATGAAAGAGCTGCGTGAGTTTTCTCTCGTGTTTACATACATTCTGTCTCTCTTTCTCTCTCTCTCTCTCTCTCTCTCATTCTCTCTCTCTTGCTCGCTCGCTCGCTCGCTCGCTCTCTCTCTCTCTCTCTCGCTCGCTTTCTCTCTCTCTCTCTCTCTCTCTCTCTCTCTCTCTCTCTCTCTCTCTCTCTCTTTCTGCGTAAGGATGGGTCAGGCTTATTCCGCTTTTAGTGGCACTGTTATCCGTTAGCTTTATGCTGAGCATCGGTTTCTTTCTTACAGTGCTTACGGCTTCCCTACATTAATATTATATACATCACAGATATCAAAAGAATATTGTTAATCTAATTTGCGATCACAAATAGCATACAAATATGCTTATATACAAATATTCCCTTTTACAAGACTTACCAGAATTAAATAAGTCTTTCCATTTGAATATTTGTTCATCCCCTACAAACATTCCTCTTGGCTTTTTCTCACGCACCTCGCCACCTTTCGTTTAAATTCCGTATAACTTTCTCTCCACTCTTTCTGCAATAAAAGATAAATTACGATTATGAAAGAATAGAGAGATACAATGCGAAATGTACTTTTATATGTACATCAATACTTACGGCGGCATCCACATTAGCAGGACTTTCATCGTTAGGATCTGCAAGCATACTAATAACACTTATCAAGATAGTCTCGACTGTGTGAACTGGTAACCACCGTTCTGATGCTTTTTCATATCCCCACTTGTCATCACCAGGTTCGTGCAATATTGATATACAAACATCTCCATTTCTGTCAATATTTGGATGCCATATCTCAGTTATAAATTTCATTTTTGGTGGCCTAAGTGGGTATTCTTTTGGAAACTGTAAATGTGCTTTAAAAAAACCACCCTCATATAATGTATCCGGAGGTCCAATAATAAGCACTTCCCATCGATATATGTCATTGTCGTCTATGAGGCCTGCAGAAAACCCTTCTACTGGGTTTTTATTTAATTCTGTAAAAAGAAACAAAGAAAAATATAACACGCGCGCACATACATTTAACATTTTATTATTTTACACACATAATATGTAAAATAATATAATATACAAACACCATAATATAATATAAAATTATTTACATAATCATTTATATCATCATTTACATAAAAATTTACATAATTATATAAAATTATTTTCATAATGTCGTATAATATTACGGTATATATATATTTTATTTCCGGTATGCTAATTGTTCTAAAAACACTCATACTAAGAATACATACTTTTGGAAGTGAAAAAATTTTATAATACACAAAATACAATATTTAAAAAAGTAAACGTATACCTTAACACTTTCTGAATTGCATAATTTTTCTAAATGTTTTGTAAAAACGGTTAAAAGATCATTTATATTTAGTTGTGTAGTTATATAGCGATTAATGGCAACTAAACTCCACAAAATATGACAGGAATAGAAACATATACTACAATAGGATAAGTGTGATATTGTCACAAATATTATAAATAAAATGTACACTCCAAAGATATGCCCAATATAAACTTGAGATGATATTTCACCTATTAAATATATCTAAGGGTGAAAAAGAGTACCACATTAAAGTAACATTACCACAGATTAATTGAATAGAACTGAATCATGATTATTGTGAAATATACTTCACCACGAAATAATAGTGTAACATAAATTAAAATCTGTTCTTTTTAACTGCATATTATATGGGATACCTAAAATAAAATATTAGGTATATGCAGAAATTCAATCAATATATTATATTTCGAATTTCATTTCTAGAAATAATTAAATACATGTTCAATCCTAAAAATATAACTTTCTATTATTTATAATCATATGACTAGACAAAACGTTATTTTGACAAAGCAAATTTCTTGATACTAAAAACTTCAGGATTTTAGGACACTGCTCACTGCTTCTGTATATATTTTCTAAGCATGCTACATTGATCGAAATAGATAGTAATTTCAAGGATTTTAAGTCTGGTGAATAAGTTAGATGCATTAAAATATTCCAATCAATGTTCACTATTGCTTTGTCGATTCAGCAGCATGTAGTCTAAAATTATCAGACAGCAGAATAACTGGGCAGTTTATTTTAAACCGTTAAAACCAATTTTTATAAATTCAATCAGCTGTTACACTAGTACCAAAACTATTTTTACCAAGTTGAAAAACTGAATGAATGCAATGTCTAATATGAACTTGCATTTATTACGGTTTTCTGAGATTATGTGAATTTGTGACATAATAAGGTTTCTCAAACACTTTAAAATTATGAAAGAAGTAGAGAACATATATATTTAGAAAATATTATAAAAATATAAATTTCAATGATGAAAATTTCTGCATATACCTATATACACACAGAGTTAATTGAATTAGAGACTTTAAAGAAAGAAAAGGAAAAAGAAAAAATGGAAATAAGGTATAAACGCAACTAAGAGGAAACAGTTACACACAAAGCAGCAACAAGAATTATCAGTTCCGGCATTTTCAGGTAGCACGCGTCATATCTGAGCATTCAAGTGTCATGACTATAGATTTTAGAACCCGAAACTACTTTCTATTGATATTTCCATCGGTCAATTGATAATGCACATATATTTAGGCACGATACATTTGACCTAGAAATATTTACGCCGAAAAGAGGAGGAAACATCATTAACACCTGGATAATCGAGAAGACAATCGGAATATCTAGGTTATGTTCTCTGCTGCCGTAACGCGTAAAAAAGAGCAGCATCATTCAAGCATACAGTAAGAATACGTGTGACACGTGCGTGTGCGCGGTCCTATCAGCTACACACGTAGCTCGGCATAACTAGCACCTAGACGTGCGGCTTATAGGTTAGGTTCGCCCGTGCGAAATAACTGCCATACGCCCGCACAGAATTCGCGCGGTGAGTCAGCGCGACGGTGTGTGTTTCGTGCGAAGAAGGCGAAGCACGGTATTACCGGCATGATGGCTTTCTCTCTTTCTTTCGCGATAGCCAGGGTGCGACTTTGTTGCACGTCACACAAAGAGAAGCGAACTCCGAGAGGCATTTTTCGCGGAGCTGATCTCGAATGGAACAGGGGAGTATGGCCCGAAGGCGGCTGACCTTCGATGGTCGTTGCACGGCACGCTTTTGCTCGCTCTCTCTTTCTTTCTCTCTCCCACACATACACACACATACACACACGCATGTACACTGTCTCTCTCTCCCTATCTCCCTCTCTCTCTCTCTCTCTCTCTTTAACTCTCTCCCTCGCCCTCGCGTCTCGTCTGTGTGCGCTGTCTCCCGGTTTTTCTTTTTTTTTCTCTCTTCTTTTTCGCTTCCTCGCTCGATACGTTTTTTTCTCTCGCCGCCGAGGAGAACCGTCGTGTGCGACGTCATGTGACGCGCGTACGCTATAAATAACAAGGCCTGCAATTATTTTCGGGCATGAGGTGAGGACGGCCTTCGTTCTTGACGTCGCGACGTCGACGTCGCCGTCGTCGTGCAAGAAACGTCTATCTGTACGCCACGAGGAGCCGACTCGGCGGCGGCGGCGGCGACAGCGGCGGCGACGGCGGCGATGGGGTATATACGGGAGGAGCGAATTGTGCATGAGGTTGAGAAAACGACAAGTCACGAACGACAAGGGCGACGACGTTACGCTTCGAGCCGCTTTCGGCTGCTTCGGACCGCGGGGAGACTTAGGTTAACGTTATTCACGGCGCAGCACACACAGGTCTCCGCGGGAGAGCCGTATTGATTTTCACGCCCCGTATCGGTGCGCACGGCTACAACAAGCCGGCTAGGACGACGAACGTGATGATGAATGAACCCACGAGCCCACAGCACGACGATTTCCGGCGAGAACGAGAACGAGATCGGCGTGAAGGCTGACGTCGAGTCAACGAGACACGGCGGCGACGAGTCCCTTGAGAGGCGCACGACACCGATGCCTCGCTCAATTGCTATCTGCGCTCCGTTATAAACACACTTAACACTCATATCGCGCTCACGTTGTACCTGCTAATTGTTTTCGTAGTAACAGCGCGGACTGTGGCTCTGACATTAATAAAAGTTCAGTTAAATAAGAGTAAGGTTGAAAACAATCACTTTTGCTTGACTTGGAAAGATGGCTAGGTACGTTGCGGAAGCGGTAACCACGCATGCGCCACTGGCTAAACATATGTTCTTCCGTTCGGAGCGCTGCACCGGCCTGACTCCACGCCGCTTGGTAGCGCCGCGACGGCCGCCCACCGAAGCTCCGCGGACGAATGTCGGATCGTGTGGATAACGCGTGCACGTACGCAAGTTGTATTAGCGACGGATAATAAGTCAGGCGTGAGCGAGAATTGTGTTTCGTGGCGGTGAATGATAAGAGCGCACTCGGTTTTAGGTGTGTTCGGTAACGAGAGCGCTTGCAAGATGGTTCCTCGGTGTGCATCGCCCTCGTGTCTCCACGACGCCGCTAATTTCAACGTCGACGCAATTCTGGTATGTACTGCCTACGAAGGAGCCAAGTCTCTTCCGATAAGTCTTTCTAGCGATAAGCGGGCAGATTTGAAAGATACCGAAACTATTCTTCTCACTCTTCAGAATTCGGCTTCATATTTTCGACGTAACGTCGGTAGTTGCCACAGATTCTGAATTTTTCAAGGGCGGGTATGCGCCATGTTTGAAGGAAAACTTTAGTTATCGCGCAAGAGTTCGAGGAATTCTCTTTCCGTCTATATACCGGAGAATAATAATTCAAGCATTGTGAGAAAATCGGTTAAAGGAGAGGAACGGAAGGGAAAGGGAAAGAGAGATACGGTTATGTATCTTTGCCTTCTCGGCAATTTCGCACAGTTACACTCGAGATTTATAGCTCGATTTCGATTCCATTTCGCGTTGTGGTTTGTTTACTTATTGGCATCTAGAATATGTATCCAGGCTGATGTTACGGTTCAGGTTTGTATTATTCAAACACTATCATCCGGATTTATCTATCGCGTTATTGAGGCAGCGAGATAATCACACGCATGCAAAATGTAGATGTTCCATCCCAAATTAATGTCGGATTCAAATTACATATTTGAGAATAACGTGCTGACTTGTTAGACATTTTTTTATTATCTCTTACATATATTAATTAATATCTTCATGTTTCTATATACGAGCAATCCAAATATTCCGCTTTGTTTTTTATTATCGTATATCACCTTACGAAGAACACAGATTTTCTCGCACTATAAATTTGAAGGCAATAAAGTCATCGAGGAAATTCAAGATATGTTTCATTATACTGGGAGATGTTATCTGCTAATCGATCGGAACAGATGGTAATCTGGAAGGGATGATAATTTAGATCTGGTGAATAAGCTCGGTGCACTGTAACATTTCAATCAATATTTATTATTAGCTTCTTTGTCAACACGGTCGATACAATTATCTTATTATCATTTTCGTATCTTGAATAGTAATTTAATGTGCTGTATCTTTTAAATAAGATCACAATGCGTGCACTATTGTTGCCCGATATCTTTCACTGACCGCAACATTTCTATTACTATTATCATTGTCTATTACTCCGGACGATATTAGTATTTATCGTGTTATTACGCACCATGCCAACATATACAGAATTATGACGATAACAGATAGAGATCGTTAATTCCGAGTCCGTTCTGTCATTAGGTCGATAGTTCTGAAATATATATGCTTCATAAATTCAATATAATTTGCACCGAAACTTATAATTACAAACGTGATATACTGCTACAGGAAATCATTTCTATATATACCAATACGAATTGATTTTTCTTATATTTTTAATAAACGTATCAGATATTAATGAAATATTTGATGAAACTTAAAATTCAAATTCAAACTTTCATTAATGACAGCCATCTGTAAAAATTCATTCCTTAAGTTCTTTTATTTTTCAAAATTTTTAATTTGTACATTTTTGTTGAAATTAAGTAAAGATCAAACGATTTTTTCTAATTTCTTTTTCATGAAGCACTTTTTGTAACATGAGTTTGTGACGCGTATATTATTCGCAATCTACATACGAGTGAATAAAACGGTGAATAAAGATTAACGATTAGACACACATCGTTGCGCTGACGCATAGCGTTACCGAAGATCAGAACGTTGATTGATCCATTCTCGCGCATGAGAATTGGACAAATAAGTTTCCATCAAGGTCAATATATTGCGACGAACATGAGAACACGTGTTGACTATTAATATTCCGGAAAAGTTATATAATACATTATAATATTTTTGCGAATTTGACGATCTTTATAATCGATTTATGTATGATATAATGACATGGCACTTTTTGATAAGATTTTTTTATTATTTCCTATTGTAGGGTACATTGCTTGACAAATGATTATACAGACGTACAATATCCAGTAAATTGTTTACTTCATATTTTACAATTTCGTCAGCCAAAACTCCCCACCTTACTCACCCCTTCCTGGACACACACACATATACACATACACACACTCTCTCTCTCTCTCCCTCTCCCTCCCTCCCTCCCTCTTTGTATTTTCACAACTATTTACAAAATATGAATAAGACTTTAATTTTGGTATACAACACATGTGAATCCGAAATAGTATTCCGCCGTCCATCAGTCTATACATATTTTATTTTTTCATTTTAATCTGTCGCATCTCGCAAATATTTCTTAAAGAATTCACAGTTGATTCATTCGACTGTCTATAACGTGAAAAAAAGTTGTGCGTTACACCTGTTCATCAAGCCTTATCGAAACAGAAATTTCGTATTTAATGGTTGTGTGGATTTTATAGAAAACTTTAAGTATGATTAATTCGCAAACACAACAGGTCGTTATAAGTGTGTAGAAAACTTTGTTTTGATCGACGACGCGCGCGAAGTTTAGAGGTTCAGACATTTATTAGGATTTTTTCTGCCCGCGCGAAGAATTACGTGAGATGATTCATGATCTGAGCACGGGAATAATTAATATCGCGCTGTCTATAACTTAACAAGCTTCTTACGTTTAGTCTCTCTTTCAGAATCCATACAATAGTTTAGAAATTTCGAAACTATTCATTTATTTAAAACTTTCTAAATTCAACGCCATCATTAATCCTCTAAGAGAAAAAATAGTATCATTTTTTATTACAATATTTTTAGAAAATTTCAATGATGAGCTTTTTTGCGATGTTCTATTTGAAAAATGAAAATATATCGTATATAAAATTGTATTACATGTATCTCCTTAACAAAAAAAAGAACAACAGGAATAAAAACACGAGCACTTCTTCCTATACATGGGCAATATTTAAATCTCTTTATTTAACAAAATTAAAACGAGCAATATCAGTCGGTATTATAATAACGGAAAATTACTCAAGTTATATTGTTGCTGTTCAGTAACAAGATCTAACGAGACTTTTCACACACACATTCACATATATAATATCTAATACAATATCGTATTTACAACTGTGAGCCTCCTCTCAATAAAAGCGATCGACAGGCGAGCCATGAATACAACTCTAGTAATTGGACTTGACGTTCTAACAGTAAATACTAATATAATGTTATCGCACAATCACATGTTAATGCTGTGTACAAATAATCTTTTATTTATGTCGTCGGTATCGATATATTCATTTTATGAATAATAGCCTCATTCAGTGATTTTTCTTCTAGTGGCGTCAATATCTTAGATACTCGGATAAGATTCCATCAGTCCAAAAGTTCGAGAAATACTCAAAAGACTCAAGTATCTGAATAGTATTCAAGTACTCAAGTATCTGACAGACATTGATACCACTAGAGCAAATTATCCGGGTAAAATATTGACTTGAATGTTATCTTATAAAAGATAATAACACACAGTTGAAAAGATAACTATAAAAGAAGTTTACGTCAATTTATTCCATGTAAATAGTAATTTTATATTAAATAACTGTGAATTCATTTTAACAAATTGAAACAAAAGCACATTAGGAGAATTCATTGATAATATATATAATCGTGTTTATATGTATTATATTAATGTGTAATATTAATTTGTGTTAAAATATTACGAAACGTAGTACACGGCATAATTTCGTGTAAGATTTGTGATATGAAAGGAATGTAGAAACAAATTTCGCTGATTCTCTAATTACGGAAGTTAAATTGACGTCAAAATATTATTACAATTTAGGTATTTCTAAATGAGATTTCTCTTCCGAGATTTCCTTTCCTGCAATATCTCTTCGATTCTCTTTCACCTCACAGGTAACAACAATGATTCATCCGGATATCAAACATTTACTTATTTAGTGTTTGCCCCAAACCAAAGTATTTAGATAACTGGTTCTATTCTTATGAAACTGATCAACAAATAATTTTTTACTGAAGATGGCCGAAATTACAACAATAGATACAAAATGATATGTGATATGTGATGATATGTGATAAAAGAAATAAATAGATCAGAAGCAATCACGTTAGTCAAATATTATTATCTCTGCGAGCGTGATTAATTTAATTTGTCGGCAATTCACCAAGTTTCTTAAAATGATAGCAATAGCAAAAGCATTAATTGTACCGACAGAGGCGAAATTAAATATCAAAGAAACATAAATTTGAACTCTCGAAGTTTTCGAGAATTTGATCATTCACACGGGCTAAATCGCGTACTGAATGAATATGTAAGATAAGGCGACAGAAATCCCCGACCCCGATTAATTCCATTAAGTCGGCCGTTAGGGCAAAGGTCGGGCTGGTTTTGTTTTCCTTTTCTCTCCTTTTTTCTCCAAGACCGAAACGCACCGATGAAGCTAAATCCCGTGGCGTTTGACTTTCATTGGATATTTCTTGTGCAAAATTGTCGCGCTAAAGTTTCGTGCCGACCGTCAAGAGCTTTGAACTCGGTTATATTTCCCTGGAGAACGACAGAGGAAACCGGAACATAAGGACGAAAGATGAGGAGCCACGTAGGAAAGAAAATCCTGTGAAAAGAGAGAAGCCGACCTGGACTTTCGCCGCGCTGGGATCTCGTCTTGGGCTTATAGAAGGTGTTATATATCGGTATAAAAAATCGCTACCCACAATCTGCTATATTGTAACGGTAATGATGCGATAAGCTACAAACATAAGGATGATTTGTCTTGCCGATACGCTTTAGATAATACATTTTTGCCGTGCACTGGTACACAAACAATAGAAATGTTAACGATAAAAGGAGCAAAGTTGAAAAAATAAAAGATGCGGGATTGCATTAAATTCTTTCTTTATCTTCATTAACAAACCGATGAGATATGGTGTGACGCATATGTGTGTGTGTGTGTGTGTGTGTGTGTGTGTGTGTGTGTGTGTGTGTGTGTGTGTGTGTGTGTGTGTTATATACAGTTTGACATAGTCAAATTCACTTACGTATATAACAAACTCAATATCCGTGGCGCAAAAGTCAAAGTTTAATTCATTTCACAAGTTCGCCGCGTAAATGAGTCTATTATCCTGAGAGGAAACTTCGTGAAAGAATTAAAAGCGATCTGGAATAACACGTCCGAAGAGAAATCTTTCTAAAAGCGAGAAAGACTTCCGCGCGAGAATATTAATAAAAATTTAATGAAAAATTTATTAAAACAAAATATCGGCCTCACATTTCGCATTTTCTTTCGGGATATTTTATTTTTAACTAAAGAAAGGAATACGGTGACCAACTTTTAAGCACTTTCTTCAGCATTCGCAATCGTGACACGCTAGCGGTTATTGCGCGACTCCTCGCGTATACGAGGACGTATGGAAAGTTGTAAATAGATTCTCGCAACAAATCGCTGTAGCGCCAGGTTGGAGCGAGCGTTCGCCTCGACTCGAACTCGAGTGTGAGGAAGTTTGTACGGGCGGGTAGGTTGGATCGATGGCTGGATGGCCTGGTACGAGCACCAAAGTAAAGTTTGTCTTGGCTGCCGGCCACGACCCTCCATCGAATCACCGACGGAGTGATAACGATAACTCTAGCAACTGCTCAAGCCAGTATCGATTGTCATTAGACACCGTACGAAATTCGCTCGCCTGTTAGTTGCACGGTTGGGCTTTATCACTTTATCAACGGTTTGCTCGGCGCTTTTAATATCGAGCCGACGTACGTGCGATCGCTTGTAAGTGAAGAGACGGCTGACAAGATCCCTTATACCGTATGATATGTTACAAGAAAACAGAAGAAGGGACATTCTTCGGGTCGCTACAGGGATTATCTCGTTCCTCTGCGTCACGCGGGGCAGGCTTTGCGCCGGTTCGGCGCAATCTCGTGCATCGTCAGTAAAGGAAATTTGACCGGTGTATAAGAAAATACAAGTTAATTTAACATATAATTTATTCTAATTTTTTATTTCAATATTGGGTTATATATAAATTATACCACTTGTTCGCGTGAAAGGATATGTAAAGAATATTTTTTAACGTAGCAACACATAAGTACGGCACGCGCTTATAACATTAATCTCGTCATGCGCAAAGGTTGCCCCATACGCAGCGAAAATAATCGTTTATAGCTAATAAATTCACAGCTATGCTTTGCTTACGCACTCTTCCCGTGGCCTATACGAATATTAATATGAAAGAACGGAGACAGACGTCCTAAACGCAACATTCTTAGGGATTAATGCCTATCCGTAAATACCTTAGTTATTGTTCTTGAGCACAGAATTTGATTTCATTCATTTGATTCTAACGTCCAGCCACTGGCAGTATAACAAACAACACGTTGCTCATTATCGTTACAGTATTAAAAAATCCGCCGCAGTTATCGCTGATCAAACGATCACCTCTCCACTTTTTTGCCGTGTCAAAGTTGCAACAAAATATTTCGTATAAACTCTCTCCCCCTCTCTCTCTCTCTCTTCGTGCCAACAGTTAATATATTTATCCCATTTTAGATATTGCTCATTCATTTAGGCAGCATGATCCTCGTTCAGCGATAACTGGGCTATTTTTACGCAGATTTACCTCCGTATTTACGGCAGTGTGTGTATGTGTGATTGAATTTACAATTCAGTAGAATCGCGAGGACGTAAGAAAAATGACGGATCGTTTGGTAAACACAGTACGCGCGCACGATTGACCGTGTACGTGTACATATCCGTTGATCCATCCTGAGCTAGACGCAAGGATCGATAGTTTAATTATATTACAGACAAGAACGCGTTTACTTTGTGAGTACTTAAGTATGGAAATATAAAAAATCCTTACATGTCCCTATCTAAGTAGGCGTGTAGAAACATTAAGTCGGTCTCCGTCCGCAAGCCAGGACGTCCTCGAAATCTCATTGAATATCAAGCAGGCGAGCTGTACTCGAATCCGCGCGAACATCTAGATTGATTTCGCCCGTGACATGCTTACCAAGGAATCGATGTCAAGCACAAGTCCGACATTATCGGAAATTAATTTCAAAGAAAATACTCCGTCCTTTTGCGCGTGATTCACTTTGCGGAAGTATAACTCTATTATTCGAGGATATGTAATTCGCTGAAAGGTCGCTGCCGGATATTGTTTTTATCATGATTACATACATTTCATATATATATATGTATATATATATATATATTTATATATATATGTGTATATAAAAACATCTCTGCCCTGTGACAAAAGACGAATCGTGTGCGTTACTCATAATTGTATGTAGTGTCATTTTGAAAACTTTATGTTCAGCACTTTACAGCGCTTAAAATGTTGAATTTTTAAGACATCTTGTTTTTAAGGCATTATTTATATCGACGAAACATCAACTTTTCAGCCGATTCCGAAGCTTTCTTGGGAAGTAACGGCTGTACGTGACATGAATAAGGAAGATAGGGAAATAAAAGGGGAGTTTCAACATTTCCGTGCACGAAAAGCATACCGGCCGCGAATGAAATGCACCATTGCCCCTTGGGAAATTATTTTATGCCGGTCATTTGCTCTATTCATTTTATCGACGACGTAAACGTAATTTCCTGTCGTCAATGCCGGTACGCGGCCGGGTTGTAATGAAGAATTACTTACGGCTTTAGTTTCTGGGATTTTACCCTTTCCGCGCATGCGCAGGCGCGCGTGATTCCTCCAATTAATCCGAATTACTTGAAACTACACGACGGAAGACGACGCATTCACGAGCAGTAACTTCGAATAGAGCACCTGTACTCTGATACACTAAGTATCTTTCATAATAATTTGACATGCATTCAACCAACATGAAGAGAACTTCGACAACGTTATTTGTATTAATCTTTCCGGCACGTGACACCTTATTTTTGCGAAAAGCGGGAGCTTCATATTCCACCAACATTCAGCAAACATTCATTAAGGACACTTCCAGATTAACCTGGCAACGTCTGGTAGAAGTTCAAGAATGTCCGACGACATTTAGGAAACACTTTACCTATCTTGGTGCCATTTTACTTAGAAGTTACGTAATGCTATTACCGTATTTATCAAATATGACGGTTATGTGTGTGTATGTGTGTATGTGTGTTGAATATAGTACTTTTCTTAGTAAAGTCTTTATGCTCTTACGAAAAACCGAAAGTATTCAGCAACGACGTATTATATTGTTCCGACAATATGTGACAGTCGACGAGAAATTTCGGAATAGCTATTGGAATTGAGAACAGCTTTTAGTTCACTTTGTCTTTAAAATTATATCAATTTAAAAAACAGTTAACATCTCAATTTTAACGGAAAAAAATAATAACTAAACTAATCAAATTATAGGATTAAAATTTTATTAAAATATAAAATATGCCAGTGTAATATGTAAGTGTGGCTTTATATTGTTTTATTATGCGGGCGAAAATGAAGCTATCTTGCTGTACCGATTTCACAGAGGATGTCCTACTTGCGTCCACGACTTAAGCACTTATTATTCTTGAACTTTTTGAATGTGTCCCAGATGATGTATTGTATACGTTTATCTATGCTCTTTGTTAATAAAGTTAATAAAGTTGCACCGGTGACTCTATTATTAATCGTTGGATCTAGAAACGTATATAAATTGATATATTACATGATACTAAAATTATAATAATACAGTTATTTATTCATTTAATCTAAAAACTAGATAATCAATTTTACAAAATAGCTAATTTTAGTATAAAATATTGAACGTCAACTCGAAAAAATTTTAAGTTTACGTTTTCAAACATTTCTATGAAACTATATCCCCCTCTTTTTCCTACATTCTTTGATAGAAAAAAAATGTTGACATAATTACTTCCCTGTTTTATTCCCTGTTTATTAAAATCATCGTTTTCTACTATAAGACTACTGTAGATCCAACTTTAATGACAGATTCAACAAAACATCTTATCATCGTCGCGACTTGACAATATGGTTTAGCATATACAACGTGTTACATATACCTATTCATCTGGTTACGATCCGTAAAAATGCTGTTAGATAATCTCTAGTTGATTGAATCCGATCTAACCTCCAGTCAAGGTACACCCGAGTTTTACATTTCCGTGTTTTCTTCAGCCTCTTCGTCCACTTTGGGCAACATATAAACGGCTGATATCGGCGGAACATGATCCTCGAGTTTTAAGATCGGCTTACAGTCTCTAGTGACATCCACTTGATTGAAGGTGTCCTTCAGGATGTTGATCTCGTTCTCGTGCGCGAATATATTGGTGGGTGGTTCCGTGCCACATATATTGTTTTCGTCGGTGCCGTTCCTGTGGCACAGATTGCCCGACGGAAATTGTCACGAGGTCAGCGCGAAGGGGTCCGTCGATAGCTCGTCTACGGACGGGCTCGGCTTCACCGGCTCCGGCTTGTCCGGTTGGTGACTTAGTCGATGGACGATCTCGTCGTGCAGAATGTTGAAGCACATCGCTGTCAGAGCCATTCCTGACATTATGTAGCAAGAGCAAAACCAGACCGTCACGTTTCTTGAGTCGGCGAGGGTGTGGCGAGGGTAAGAACCAGGCACCATGTCGCCGAAACCGATAGTGCTCAGGCTCATGAAGCAGAAATAACTCGCGTCTAGGTATGAAAGAAGCGCCCCGTTAGCCTTCGTGATGTGACACAAGTTTCATGTCTCTATACATGTATATTATTACGGTTACGTCACAGTATTCGCATTAATCTCTCAGAAACGTCAAGGAAATACAACTACAGTTTCTTAGAGGCACTTGGAAAAAAATGTATCGCAAGCATTTGCACGAGGGAACTACCGAAGTCTACATCGAGAACTGCTAGCGCAACAATGAACATGAGATTTCTGGACATTTTTTCAACATAAAGAGAAACTCACCTATGAACGACCAACCGTCTAATTTATGCAGAGTGAATGCTCCAGCGACGATGTAACATAGCATCGCGCCAAGACAAATACTGATCGGCGCGAGTATGGTAACGTTGGGTCTGTCACCCGAGCCGAGGCTCGATACTTCGTCCTTCGGGCTGGCCTTAATTTCCACGGTGCTTGTAAACGTCGATGCATTCGCGCGGACGTAAAAGGGTTCCTGCAGTTGTAGCTGTTGCTGCTGCTGCTGCGCCAGCTCCTCCTGTTGCCGTTTCTTCCTCATTCGCCGCTCTTTATCCTACACGCATGAAAAACGTCCGGAAGTGGAGGGAGAGAGAGAGAGAGAGAGACTCGTTTTTCGCGTCTGCACTCGGAGGCACATTCGCGATCATTTTACGCGCGTATTCCAATTCCGTTCGCTGCGTCGCGACAATTTTGAGCAAATGCCGATCGTTTGCACTCCTGTATTGAGTGTCGGGAGCTATGAAGACTGATCCAATTTTATTTGAATAGCGCTCCAACAATAACCAATCAATACTTGGATAGCCATTAATCCTTATCGACCGTGCAGGACACGTACGTCCTGCACTAGGCAACGCTATCGACTCGACTGGACGCGACACGACATATGCGTTTCTCATCACGTATATCCGGTTTGTTCAACGGGAAAAAGAGCGTCACTGGCAGTTCGCGATTAAGTCTTTTTTTTATCGGAGAACGGTGCGAAATTTTCGACGGAGCATGCCCCTCGCTAACCTGCATTCGCCTCTCGTCGTAGCAACAGTAGCCGCAATTCGAGCAAAGGCAGCAGCAAAGGGCTCGCGTGAAAACACCTCTGGCGCATCTTGACAAGAGACCTCCCGCGCTGGACAGGTAGACCAAGGTCAGGGGTATCCCGAGACTGGCGTAACCCATGGTGGCGATTTTTCCCCAAGTGGATTTCGGCGCGATACTTCCACATCCTGTGAGAAAAAAACAAGAAGCGAGAGAAATTCACGTCAGGAATGAATAAGAACTGAAGTTGCGCGGGTGTTCGCAGTGGTATTTCTTCCCCGGCGAGTCGTTATATTTTCTCTTTACGCAATACAATGGCGATATTACGGCGAAGAAAGAAAGGAACGGTAGAATCGCGGTAGTTAATCTTTCGTAATATTAATCTTCCGGCTTACTTAAATAGGTAATATGCGCAGCGATATGTTTATTCACGCTAATTAACCGCCGCGATAATAAAGACTACGGTAACTACGTGCAGTTGTGAATACATTGTTCGCTCGTGTGATTATGCGAGCGCAGGTATGGGTAAATGCTTACAGTGAGGATGCCTAGAGAGAGGAGAGAGATGCGGAGAGCAGTTGTTATTTTGCAACTTTCTTCTCTTCTTGCGTGTGGTTAACGTGTCTGTAGTCTTGTTTGCTTTATTGGCTACAACAGCAATTTACTTTTCTAGCCCCTTTAGCCGGGTTCCATTTTAACTTAATTAGTGGAGAAATTTTAAATGAACGCCGAGAGAAGCATATTATTATAATCCGCCATAACGATCGAACTCGGAGCAATTTCCGACGCAAGTTTTATTATTACAATTCATATATCGCGAGGAATGCGAGAGTTGATTAGACTTCATAAAACCCGTATTCAGGTCAGCAGGGGCGCCTTGCGCGAAAAGTTGAGCCATAAAACATTCGTAAAAATTCGTAGAATTTTTAGTATCGTGAGAGCTTAAGTTTCGGCAAACGTCTATCAATCGTAATCTCCAAAAACGGTTCTCGCAGTCGAGCGGCAAAATTTATTGCGCGGCAGAAACGTCCAATTGGGTTGCTATCCGGGGAATATAGATAAAAATATCTATGAAACACCTAGCCCCAGAATTTATCTTCAATTCCGCAAAACAGTCAAAAGCATTGTTTGATACAAAATTTTGTCGGATTTTTGCGATAAACTATGTCGTTTTGACGTTAGATGATTTGCATTGAAAGGTTTCGTTTTTAGTTGTTCATTCAGAGCATAAAATTTATCGTGTGAGACTACCAATCGTTATCTCAACAAGTATATGACTAAACAGCGATATCCACGTCTGTATTGTTGCGCTCACGCTAAAATTAGTTTGTCGATCGTATCACACTTGCAATGACAGGAAATCAATACTCGAGAAGAGACATGGAGGGCAGACAGAATAATCTTGGAAACTATGGATTAACAACAAAAGAAAAAAGGAATATGTATGATAGTAATATTGCGAAAAATAAAGAACTTTGTAGAAATTGAACCTATCATTAAGTAACGTAACGAACACATGATTTCGTGAAATAATAATATTCGTGGGTACGTAACGAAACAACAATCATAACAGTCCTTGACGCTGAAGTAAACATATCAGGATGCGTCATTCCCAATTTTTCCGAATGAATAGAGCATATAAGATGCTTTACATCACTGCGGACGATTATCGTATTAAATATCGTATCGTATTAATATTATCGTAAGGGAATTTAAAAAGTGACTACTGCTCCTCATTTTTATTATTAGTTCAAGAGAATTAGTTCAATAAATATACATTTTCGGAATTATAGAAGTATTCTTGGATTAACGTCTATCGATATAATTAATCAGGAAACACACTTTTTGTTTCAGATCTGCCACAGTTTGCGTCCACACTGACAATGCGGTTTACGGAAGTGCAATTGTGGTAGACGCCGTACCGGGAGATCTCGAAATTTTTTATACGTCAAAAATGCTATAACCATCAATTCGTGATTTTTTACGCATGATTTGCAACTCGTAAATAAATTCGCGAAGTGCTCGAATTGATCGCGCATTTTTCGATTAAGTGCCGTTGAATTGATTGTGGTCGCGAGTGTGATATAGTGAAATGAATAAAATCGGTGCGAGACGACGGCTGGATGCTGGACGGGTAAAACGAGGCGGTCGGTGTGTAGCAGTGGATTTTATCGTGGATCTGGACGGCTGAACATCGCTGAATATCATCGCGAAAACGGTGAGTGTACAATTCAAGCGCTCACAGAGTGTCACATCATGTAGTGCGTGTTTAGACGTGAATCTCGCATGGATTTCCGAGGAGGACAAACCGCGCGAATGTCGTATATATTTTGACAATTCGAAGTCGCTCAAAACAGATTTAAGAATGGTGCACGCTCGCAATATCTAGCGATATGTCTTATACAAGCAGCTTCGCCATTGCTTCGCTTAATTCCCGATAAAGCCTTCAACGTTCGTACGTCTCAAGTTGCTTAATTCAATTAATTTTATCATCGTGACGCGAAACTTTCGCGAAAGCAGCTGCGGCGGAAGCTCCGAAACTCCGTAGAATTTTACGTAGAATCCTAATTACACACGATTCCCGTTTTTCCAAACAGACAAAATAGCACGCCAAGTATCTCGCAGAGCTATTCTATCGTTAACAAACAACGTCATTAATCTCCGCGGATAAATAGAACTCATTCTTTCGCGGAAACGCGAGAAAAACGATGCCTTTCTAAAAACGCGCGCTTTTAGCTCCCTCGCGCCTCGCCTCGTATTTTGTGTGCATCGCGCAATTTCAATCTCGACCGGTCCGACCTTGCGTACGAGAGCGTTGGAAGTAACACAGAAGCGCAATATGCAGTCGCGCGCGTTCGCATTTCACGAGTCGATCCAAAAATTTACGCGCCTGCGAAAATAAAAGGAACGACCGATGCAAAAAAAAAATAAAATATAGAGAAAGAGAGAAGGAAAGGGAGAGGGAGGCAGAGAGAGAGAGAGAGAGAGAGGAAAGCCGGTGTGAAACGAAGGTCCTGGCAGAACCTAAAAAAGCGCTCGGTCGAGATGCGGCGGGCGGCGCGAATCGATTGCTCGACGCCGCTTAAGATAATGGATCGCCTATCGGAATTGCCCCGGTACGTGTATGATAGCGGCCGGCTTGGACTGCATCGTCGATGGAATTGCAGCTGCGGAAGCTCCGCGGAACTGCCACGAAGGCCTATTCGTCACTGTCCCGCCGCCTTATCGTTCACGACGGCGCGACCCTTTCGGTTGGCCGTTATCTGCTGCCATTTGTTACAGACTACGGCAGATTGTCAGCTTCGGTTTTATTGGCCGGCAAGTAAAAATATACTCCGCTCAATCGCGAGAGCGCAGGAAAGCGATGCGGTACGCTTCGCTCCGAGCCCCGTCAATAGAGGGGTGAATGTGATGGTTGAAAGCGTATGAATACATCACTGCGTGTACTTATGGTATGGAATGAATAAAGAAAAATTATTTTGTAGCGAAACCACATCGTTGTATATTCGTTACGACAGCGGCAAGATTTTATCTGGCATGACCGAATCAGCGAATTATTTGAATTGTTAGGGCAGAAACAGTTTTCTTGCCAGGGTAGAAAAACTCGACACCGAGCGAATTCGTCTTTGGTACACGTTAATTTTCTATTAGAACGAAATAGTGTTTTCCTACATTCACTGATTCGTTCTTATAGAGAAATAATTTGTAGATTCAATAATTTGTAATTGTCCACGTAGTAACTGACAGATTTTACTGCGACAGCATAAAATTTGTTGTGCCGGCCAATTATTTTTCTCCGTGATGCGTTATTGCATCTCGTAAAATCATTTGATGATGATGGGTCTATGATAATAATATTTATTCAATTTCGAGCACATTTATCTCAATCCGTTTTACACCCTCACGAAATTTGTCCATGCTGGTCTAGAACACCCTGTATAAACTCATCGTGAGGAAAAGAAAATATTCGTTACTGTAACATACGCTCTCGCGCGCTTTCGATACTCATAGCACGGTCCGAAGCTATCGCTTCGGAAAGGTATCGAAAACAATTCGCACTCGACGACGGAGAAAGCGGAAATTTGAAGCACGAATGGCAATTCCCTGAAGCGCGGTATTTCGGTGAGCGAATTTTTCACACAAGCTGATCCAGTATTTTTCTATCTTTCCAATACTCCTATTTATTGTGTACGCAGTTGCAGTGTGCTGCGTGAGATATTTTTGTTGCCTATCGTGCGATCGGCGATTTCTTTTTAATCCATTGCATAACATACGTCAAACTAGATAGTATATCTTTTGTTATGCGTGACAAGGATGACACGCGTTCCGGTATGTTTCCTAATCATACATTATCCAACGATTTAAACGCTGTCAGTCAAAGCGCATAATCCAATTTCAAAAAAGTTCACGTCTTGTGCACAAGCTTATGAAAAAACGACGCAGTCCGAAGATAAAATTCTGTGACGAAACTAATTTCTTTCTGACAAATATCAATATAATATTAATGATAACATAGCATAAATAACAACACGGTCGTTTTAAAGATGTTATCAACAACAATAAATCAAACAACCGTATATATCTCGCATCTCGCTCGGAGCAACAGCTCAAGCTGAGAGGTCGAAGAAACGGCAGAGAAGGGGAATACCAACCTATACGGAACAGTAAAATTTAATTATCAGTTAGCAATAACATGCTCTCGTCGAGTTACTCGCTCTCAACCAGAGTCGTACACATACACCTGCATAATTTTAACCATGTCAATTCAATTGTTGTTCCATATAAAGACACCGCCCTCGTTAAAGCTTACCTTAGTCTTTGTGGTATACTGCTTAAAGACACAACTTCCTTATAAACTAAAGAAATACTGTGTAATATGAAACATTTTATACAGATATAAATATATATACATATATACTTATATATGTATATGTATATATATAGATACATATATCTATATATCTATATATATAAACGACAATCAATCTTTTCATGTGCTTCCGTTTAATTTAATTCGAGAGTAACGTTGTACAAAATGATGGTGATCAATATAATGACTGTAATTTTCTTCGTTGTAACTGGGATAACGTTCACGGTGCACGCAGCTTCGACAGTAAGTTCTTTATGTTTTCATAAATTATTATTATTATTGAATTATTAATAATTTCAATTATTAACAATAAAAAAGAAGTATTATGATATTTTATTGAAAATATATTAATCACGTAATTATTACAATTTATAGAAGTAAAACGAAATTAATACGAAGAGAATAATGAAATAAATATCATATATTTAAAAGATAAAATGTCTTATAGTGATTTAATTTTTTTCAGGACAAACGACGTCCGTCCGAAACGAGAAAGCTAGTAAGTAATAAACTTATCGCGATAATATAACAATTTTAAAATAGAATGACAGAAAAGAGTTATATATATATAAATTCTTTTGATCGCTAAATTTTGTTAATATAATATAATCTTTTTGTTAATATAATATAATCAATAACAACAAAATGTCTTATTTAAGGAAATTGAAAAAGGGATTGGGCACTTTAAACGTCGTGGTGACAATGTGTCGGATGCCCTAGGTCTTGCTCTTACAGACTTCGGAGTCATACGCAGATCTTTGGGTCCGATGAAATATATCGATACACCAAATCCTTCGATGGTGGAAGGCAAGAACAGAAATATAATACGGAAGTTGAAACTGTCAGTGACACTCCGTGAGAACATACTTTACATCTTCTCGTATCTACTTCACGGCCATGAAAGTGGGTTGACGGAAGAGCAATACACATCCTTACACATGCTTTATGATATTCTCAGAAAAAGGATGGTGCATGTGTACAGAATGTTGTCTGTTCTACCTAAATTAGAAAATAAGGACAAGAATCAGCAAACAAAGATCGTATTATCATCATTGATAGAGAATCTTCCACCTTATCTTTTGTGCACAGCTAAATTCCTGATTAACGAGATACAATTAAAAAAAATTAATTTGAATGTGTTGTTACGGCCAACGAAATCCGAAAAGTTCAATTACTTAGCCAATATCAGTCGAGACTTAATCGCTAAAAGTAAGATAAAAGATATCGAAGACAAAACGAAACGATACAGTAAATATTCAAACATCACTCAGAAAGCTCTTGGTCCGATATTTGTAAAGCTTCTTCACATTTTGCATACAAGCAATGAACCTCTGTCGCAAGAATTATTCGGTCTAATATTGATTAACTTACCAAACACTAACGCCGATCCTGTACTCGAAGAGAACATCAGATATCTATATGAAATAGCCGAAAATAATCTTCTTCTAAACTGGAATTTAATTGGGAAGAATCCCGTTGGTAAGGATGTTTATACACTCGTCTTCTCTATACTCTCCAAGATCCTTAACAATCCAAGCATAGATGTCGTCGTAAAAAACGCGGCAATTTACGTGTACAATCATTTGAAGATTACCACATCAATTTACGATAATCCGAACTTGAAGTATACGTATAACCTAATTAAACAAGACTTAGACGTGGAACTGCTGTTCTCAGCCATTGTTCCGCAAGAATTCGATGCGGATGCAATCCGTATGAAAGATCGTCTGCTGAGGTACTTCATGCAAAACTATAGAAACAAAGATCTGGAGCAGGCTATTAAAGGGTTCAACAAATTCGGCTACGATGATCCGTTGGATCTTCTTATAGCCTTCCTAACGAGAATATTAAATCGTATGCCGGCATCGAAGGTGGAACTTCTACAGCCGGCTGCAGCTCTGCTATCAGCTTTAATCATAAAGAAACACGTCAGAATTTTCACACCCTTCGTATCGCCCGAAGTCGATGTACTGGTACTTTTGGAATCTCTCAAGAATCCTGTTCTAGATCCGATGCTTCCAAAATTAGTGGACTCCATAAAGCTCGAATTAATGTCACAGCCACGAATATCCGTGTTCTTGAGCACCTTGATACCAACGGAGAAAGACAAATGTCTCATAGCTCGGCAATGTTTGATAAATGCATTCCAACAGATACAAAAACTACATGCTCACTTGCCTATAACGTTAACAACGAAGATTCAAAATATATTATACATTCTGCAGACAATGCCATCGCAAACATTTTCTATGCAATATTTCATAGTGCCGGAAAATGTGGATCTCCCTAATATGAACGAGAAGAATCCAACAATGGTAAACGATATGAATAATACACCAACTGAATTAACCGGAAAATCGCAAGTATGGAACATAAATATATATACGACAGAAAAATATACTGACGAGCCAGATTTCGAAATCCAAGAGGAGTCGACAGAACGGGAACGGGAAAATTCTGCAATTGTCAAGTCCGGCGAAACGAAAGAGACCACTGTTTTAAGCCCTTTACTCGACTGGGCGACTGCGCCTTCTGATATTTCCTACAGTACAATGCATCATACAACCACAGAGGGCATTCCGGAAGAATCGAGTTCCGAAAGCGAATATTCCCAAGAATCAGAATCACGAAAATCGTCGCAAAGTATACGTCCGGTAGTCCCTAAACGGACATTAAAACCAGGAAAACCAGAAAGAGTTCAGGAACACGTGACACATGTTGTATCTTATAGTTCCATATCTCCGGAGTCGTCCGAGGAAATACCTGAAAACGCCGCGCCGAAACTTTCGATCGAGGAAACGTTGGGTTCTGAAAATGCATCAAATGCGATAGTGCTCCCACCGCTTATAAAACCCAATCGTCCTCTTACCGTAAAATTATCCAGCAATGGCGTTCCGGTTGTAACAACGGATGAGCAACACGATGATACAGAACCTGGACTTGTGTTACCAGAAATCAAAATACTTCTGAAATCTCCCGACACAAACAATTTCTTAGAAGGAATTGACACGCCGATAGTAACGCAAATACTACAACCGCTCTCTGCCATATTTGGTAAAAATTATATCAGCAAGATTCTGAAAGAACCCGTGAATT